CTTAATTCCTTCCTCAATTAATTCTTTCCTTGGCCAGAAAGTCCTTTGAAATTCCTGGACATTTTCCACCATAATCATTACAGACGTTAAAATCTATTGTTACATTATTAATTTTCTTTAATTTAAAAAATTCTTTATATCCTTGAGTGTTACAAAAGAATCAGGTTGAGAAACACAGTTCTAACTTTTAGTTGTTTTCTTCCCAGAATTCCTGATAAAGTAGTATGCTGACAATTGTAATTCAGTCAAATGTTGATTACATAGTTAAATGGTTGATAAAACAGGAGTATTAGCAGGGTGCTTTTTCAGTGTGTTTTTTAAAATTCCAACTTCTGACATTATACTGTTGCAATGATTCTAGCCTTATATGCTATGAGAAAGTTGTTTTATTTTGTGGCTTTTACATGGACATTCTTTAGGATATTTAAAAATCATATTGCCATTGGTAAGGCACTAAAACACTAATTTCCAAGCAATGATGATAATTTACTCTGTTAGAAATTACCATTATGATGATTAATAATAATTTGCATATATTCTCAAAATGATCAGTGCTCAACATTATGGCTTAATACCCAATCAACATGTGAAATACAAGTCAAGTTTTATAAAGTAGGCTGACAAAAACAGAATGCTTAGGCATAATACTGATGATTTCTGATATAAATAATATGTAATGTTTTAAATACAATTGACAAGTCCAAGGATAAGGATAGTAAAGATTGTTTTCTATACAAGACAAGAGAAAAATGGTAAGTGCAGTCTACTCAGTGCTGAGGTTTAATTGTATTGTTCTTTTTTTAAAATATTTTACTTATTATTTTTATTTTATGTGTATAAGTGTATTGCCTGCGCGTAGGTCAGTGCACCCATGTCATGCAATGCCCACGGAGGACAGAAAAGGCTGTTGGATCCCTGAAACTAGACTTACAGACAGTTGTTAGCTGCCATGTGGGGCTGGGATTTGAACCTGGGTCTTCTGCAAGAACAACCGGTGTTTTTAACCGCTGAGCCATCTCTCCAGCCCTAGTTATATAATTCTATGTGACAGTCCCCATGCTGTGCTAGCTTATGGCTCAGTCAGTGGAATATACTTCATTATTTCTTCATTAAGGTGACAAAAATTTAAAAGGAGTTACATGGAGCTGGAGAGATGGCTCAACAGTTAAGAGCACTCTATCTGGGTTTGGTTCCCAGCACCCACATGGTGGCTAACAACTGTAACTCCAGTTTTAGGAAAATCTGACACCCTCTTCGGACCTCCATGGGCACTGGATGACATGGGTGCAGGCAATACACTCCTACACATAAAATTTAAAAAATGAATAAAATGTTTTTTAATTAAAAAAATCATAAAAGGAGTTTATTACTTTGGGTGGCTTCCTTTAGTTTTTGTTTTTTCCTCCTACAAGTTCTAGGTCATACTCTGAAACAATGTGCACTGAATTATATGACCCATGAGCAACCCATGGGAAAACAATCACAGTTATGATGGTGTGAGAGCACAAGATCATAACCCCATTGTCATATGTTCTTGTAAAGCATAAAGGATGGTACTAGAAATATTATCAGACGAAAATGACTACCTTACAAACATGCAAGGACATACAAGTCTAAAATTCCTGTCATTTTTTAAAAATATAAATAATTTTTGACTGAAAAATTGTTATTGAGTTTTTGTGCATTTCATATAATGTATCTTAATCAAATTTAAACCTCCCTGTCCCCTATAGCTCCCCCCACCAGATTTCAGGTATTCTGTCACATATGTTAAGTCCTATCTGGTTGAGTGTTTGTATTCAGATGTCCTTTGGTACAAGTTCATCCACTGGAGTCTAGTCAGCCTATCTAGAATCAGCCTATCTAGACTCCTCCCACTTCTTACAAATATGTCCTCTGCCTGTTCACAGTGAGTGAGGCACACATGTCATTATTTAAGAATCATAAATTTGGATGTTTTTAAATTACCTTCTGTTTGATAAATCCGACTATCAAAAGACAGAGGAAAGATCATGCTCTGTTACTAGTTCACTATGTAAAATTATTAGTCCTACTAATTAGGAGGGACCACATGGGTACAACCTCTATATTTGTGCACTCTCTAAGGGACCCTGACATTCCTGGGGTTCAGGGATGCATTGTCAGTATTCATCACATTTCATGCTCCAGTAAGTCATATGTCATCCATGCTCTATTTTTCTTTTTTTTTTTTCTTTTTTTTTTTTTTTTTTGTCTTTTTGAGACAGGGTCTCCCTGTAGCTTCAGCTGTCCTGGAACTCACTATGTAGACCAGGTTCATTTTTAAACAAAGGAAAATATGCACAATAATCTATCCAAATAATCTCCTTTGATGACTCCACAAGTAACTTAATGCAATAAAGTTGATGGGTGTAATGTATGAGAAATATATCGTTATCCATCTGTTAAGATTTTGTGCTTAAAAATTCACAGAAATTAGGCACTATAATTTCATTTTCCCTTTTATTTTTGAAAAATTGAAAAATAAAATATGCATTATTGTTATCTGTGGCAAAATATTCTTAAACTTCATCACTGGTTCAGTTTTGACTTTAAAATGATTGAATATTCATATTAATAGTTTACTCTGGTGCTTTGCAGAGAAGTGTGGATTTCTAAGGGTATGGCTTGTTATTCATTCCTTAAATATGTTCCACATTTTAATCAAAGTTGACATAGGTGTTACCTGTTGGATACTTAATATACTATTCTGCCTATGTCTCTTAATGTGAACAGTTTCCAAAAATGTCACACCTTTAAAATGTAGATTGAGCTGGGCATGGTGGCACAGCCCTTTAATCCCAGCACTCCAGAGGCAGAGGCAGGCAGATCTCTGTGTGTTCAAGGCCAGCCTGGTCTACATAGTGAGTTCCAGGACAGCTGGGGCTGTCTCAAAAAAGACTCCCCCCAAAAAATGTAGATTGAATGCTTTCACACTGTATTTCCAAGAATGTTGATTGGTCTTATAATTTATGGAGAAGATTAATGGAGGAAAAAGCAATTTGATCCACTCCATTAAAAAGCCCTTTGATTGGCTGGAGTGGTGGCATTCAGGAGGCTGAAGCAGGAAGATCATGAGGTTGAATGAGCTTTGGCTACATAGTGAGACGTTGTCTTACAAAAGAACAAAACCATTGACTGAAGGTTGATACGATCCTAATCTTTATGGTTGAGTGCTGTTTTTAAGTGATTCAATCTGTAAAAGATTGTACTTTCTACTTCATCACTCAGTGCTTCCTAACACTTACAGACCTCTGCTTTACATTCAGATCAGCTATAAAGTAAGCAATTTAAGCTCGGGATTATGGAGCCAAGAGTGAGACAGTATGGGGAAAGGTTATCTCCTAGTCCTACAAAGTGCATCTCAGCAGTAGAACGATGACTGCAGTTTCTGCCTTTCTCAATAAAATTTGCTGCCAAGTGGAATTTTTAATTTTTTATACCTGTGCCTCTGCACCTTCCTAATTTGTTAATCTTTCATTGAGAAATTCTTGGAGTATTCATTTTTCTGTGATGTTCCACATCAACCAGTGTAACAAGAGGTGAAGAAGCCATTTCAGGACTGTGTAAGTCACAATGTCTATATCAAAGACACACTCCATGCTGGAGTCTAACTAAATTTGCTGCATACTCTTCCATTATCTCAGCCTTTTGTAATTTTCTATCAAAAACCCACTTCAGATGCAGCCTTTCTTTCATCTTTTCCATCCATCCTCATGAGTATCTTTCCCTATTAAGGTCAGCATATAAAAGAATTATACTTATTATTCGTGTTTCTGCCAGTTGCACTTTACAATGTATTCTGATTTTATTAAGCACCAATACCTAACATGCCTACAAGTTTATCCTTTTTAAATTCCCGAAAGACATCTGGCTTTGGCTTGAGGTAGGGGAGGAATGGACCTTTCGGCCTTCCCAGCTCCAGTAGAGTGTTAGACTAGATGGCCATGGTAGTTTAGCTGTGGTAAATTGGCTGTATCATCTGCACCAGTATGCAATTATCTGTTCATAGCTAACCCAGATATGTGCAGAGCCGCCATTTCTGAAAATGGGCCTAATCATTTTGTAGATGGGTGTTGGCTTATTGAATTTTATCAACTTAGAATCATTGATGACTATGTCAAGAAAAATACTTGAAAGCTACTTTCAGCAAATTTCTCAAGATTTTGTTTCTCTGATTAATGGAAATATGGATTTGCTTACTTAAGACTGTGCTTCAAGTTCAGCAGCTGAGGGAGCCATGCCAGGCTTTCACTGTGGGACATAAGAGTGGCAATTCTTGGTATATGGAAACTAAGCATGAACTATCATTTTGTGTTTTGTTTTTGAGATCTTCATTTGTACTGTGCTAGCCCCAAATCATTTAATGTAAGAACTTTTTTCTGTTGCATGAAACCCCAGACTACTTTGGAATGTCTGTTAAATTCAGAAGCAAATTTAATACTGATACTAGTTGAGAATCCTCTATCTACAATGCTTGGGATGAGGTGTACTGGATTTGATTTTTTTATTTGGTAATTTACTTACACAATGAGGTATCCGGGGGATGAGACCCAACTGTAAACAATGACTTCATTTATGTTTCATATGCTCTTCACACACATAGTCTGAAGTAATGACATACAGTATTTTTGTGTGCCTGCGTGTTGACTCTGAGCCTTCACTGAGATTTAGGAGTGGAATTTTCCACTTGTGATGTCATGTCTTTGCTGAAAATTGTTAGGACTCTGAAGCATTTCTGATTGGGTGTTTTCATATTAGGGGTACACAACCCACAGAATGTACCAAGGACAAGAGAAAAGAAAAAAGAAAACAAAAATACGTGTATAACATTTGTGACCCTGAGTGATCTAGCCAGTTTATATGATGGAGTTTCGCTGTAGAGGTGACAAAGAAGAGTTAGAATATGAAATCACTGCACACAGGACACCTTTTATTCACCATCACTTTGATTTATTTTCCTAGTTTTTTTCTTCAGGTGGAAAAATAATTTCATCAAGAAAACAAATGTTTCTGCCAAAGTGAAATAATGTCATGTTTTAATGCTTTTCTTTAAAAAAAAAAAATGTCGACAATGCTAGGTAGTCGCCCTGCCTCTCTCCTTCACTTGTTTTGCTAATTTGAAAAGAAAACCTTCACTGGCAGAAAACAATATATTTCTCTCCAATAGAGTGATTATATTTTATTGCTGCTTTGTTTAGTATACATTTTTCTCAATTGGGAAAAAAAGTCTAGGTGATAAAACTACGTAACAAGAGAAGTAGTTTACATGGTCATAACATTTAAATTGCTGCCCAAAGGAAAAAAAAATGTAAAAAAGATTTAAATGTGAAATATCACATAACTTCAGAAAAACTTACCTCAGTTGTCTATCATCTATCATGGCCTATAAGTCAGCCTTCTAAATAGTATTACAGTCCTTTATTATAAGCCCCTAATGGTACTATGGTATACATTTAAAAAGTGCTACTACAAAAAATCTCTTTGTTTTTGCCTATCATGTACTTAAGCTATAGATAACTATTGAATAAAAAGCCTACAGTAGGTATAAATGCAATAGTTAACTGATCCTATTTGCTGATGTCCTTTTCTTGTTCCACAGACGGTGGCATCTTTTAATCCAGCATCTTCTCCTGTTTCTTGCCTTCCTTTTTCTTCTTTTTAGATTCTGCTGTAATAAAAAAGAAAGAAAGAAAAAACTTAGTATCAAGGCACTAACCTATATGTAAAGAAAACTGATGTTCTTATAATTGTCCAAGAATCAGAAAGATAAGATCAACAAACATGTTGCTTGGTATTTCTCTGGTAAGTTGAAAGTGTGTGTGTGTGTGTGTGTGTGTGTGTGTGTGTGTGTCTGTCTGTCTGTCTGTCTGTCTATATGTTGGTGGTGTGTATTGTATGTGTGGTGTGTGGTATATGTGATATGTGTGTTTTATGTGTGTGTGGTTTGCTGCATGAGTATTGTGCGTGTGTTGTATGTGTGAATGCACGCACAGGTGCATGAATATAATAGTCAAGAGAGCATCCATAGATAAGCAAGAAGAAAACAGCCTACTTCATTATGAATAGCAAAAAATTCCTGTTATCATTGGTTGACTCCATTTGGTATGTCAGATGTTGCTGGGGGGCCCTGGTTAGAAGACACACAGCAGGCTGGCCTGTCTTAAAGAATAAACCAGGTCACCTGTTAAGGAAAGATTCGGTAGCACTGCTTCACTTCATCACTTCTCATGTTCCTTTTAAATGGAATTGTTATTAGCATTCATTCTTTTTTTCTGAGCAAACAATTCTAAAGTATCTCCAGTCTGGATCCAGCTTTTTGTATAAGAACTATGGTTCACATGTAGGTTGTCTGGAATTTTTCCCAAATGATCATGCAGACGGGTAAAACAAATAAAATGCATCAACTGGGTTAAAGAGATTAATAACACCATGAGGATTTATGTTCAGTGACTCCATTATTTTCTACTTAATCTTATTTTCCTAATAAGAGAATATAGTGGGTAATACCTGGCTTGCTAACACAGTTTTTCTCATCTTTAAAATAGAGGTCTAATTAACTCTGAGTTTAACTAATGTTTCATTTTAGTAGTCTTTCAAGGTCACCATAAGACAAAGGTTTGGTATGAGTCTAAGGGTCACAAGTTGGCCTGGAGCAGAGCTTTACCTCAGTAAAGCCAAGTGCTTTATTATGGATCATTGAGTGGCTACTCAGCAAGGTATTAAAAGCCAGTGGGACCTCAACCCTGATGTGAAATAGTAGGGCCCCTTAGTTCACACTGAACAGAGCCAAGTGATGTGAGAGCCCAAATGTTAAATCACACCCCAGGCTCCTCATCTCTTTTCTCTGCCTAGACTGAAATGGAGGCAGAAATACTTGCAAGGAAATGAGCAATTGTGAAAATGCGGGAAAAGGTCCCCTGCCTGAGGAGTGACTCGCTCTGTTCTTCCAGCGATCCCTACAATGACATCACTGTCCCCAAAACTCAAAGCTACACTGAAATGTTTTATCTTCCTGGGTTTGCATACCTTCATCCTTTGACCAGTTATGGAGTTGATGGAGGGTATGGCTCATAGCTGGAACATAGATGTGAGAGGATAGTAGGTGTGTAAAACCATGAGCTATTCAACAGGGTAGTTTATTTAGGATATATTGGAAAGCATCTACAAAGCCCTAAGTCTCTCCTAAAAAATAGGATGTCAAACTCTTCCTATTGGTATGAATCAGAGGATGTGAAGTCCCATCTCTACAATATTCTCTAGAAACCAGGAGAAATGTTGCAAGGCATAACAACTACTGACAGGAAAAAAGAAAGACAGTGAAAAGAATAAAGGAGGTTAATATAAGCCACACTACAATAAATTCTGAGCCCATTTTCTTCACACGGAAACTGTGAAGTTCTGTTAGGAGCGTCTTACCATGCGCTACCTTACAGCATCGATTTTAATCCCTGCCTGACACTGGTCAGCTCTGTGTTTGGAGGAAATCAATCAGTCTGAATTTTTTTCCTATAAACTAGTAAGAATAAAACCTATACCCTCCACTGAGTGCTGTTGGAAGTATCATATGAGGTGATGACCTGTCACATCCCATTTTTCCAGAACTGTTCCCCCAAATGTTCATTTATTCAGTGAGCAAATGTGCACAGCATCTCGAGTACATATCAAATGCTCATATAAATGATGAAAAAGCAAAATTGTCTTCAAAGAAGTGATATCATAAGACCTGCTTTCAGTATTGTTCTATGTATTTCTTTCAAGATTATAGTTTTTTAATTTTTTAAAAATTATTATTTTATGTGTATGTGTGTATTGCCTGCATGCAGGTAAGTGCACCCGTGTTGTGCAGTGCCCATAGAGGACAGAAGAGGCTGCTGGACCCCCTGGAACTGGAGTTAGGGACAGTTGTTAGCTGCCATGTGGGTGCTGGGATTCGAACCCGGGTCTTCTGCAAGAACAGTCAGTGTTCTTAACCGCTGAGCCATCTCTCCAGCCCCAATTGTAAAGTATTTTAAAAGCATATATTTATATCAAAGATCATGGACACTATTTAATGACTCTGAGGCCTAATTTTCTTAATAATTTAGTGATACATTGCAGAAGCACGTGCTGTAAAAAGAGCATCTACAAGAAAAATGAATTACTAGAAAGAATTTACGTATACTAGACAACTTGAAGAAAAGTGATAATTTCTCCTCTGAGTTGTTTTATTCTTCCTCGAAATAATTACTTTTCTAGCCTTAAATGTAATATGGGCTCATATAGACAATAAACAAATGCATATATTAACAGAAATTATTCTTTACTTCAGAATATAGAAACTCAGTTAGTGGTATGAGCTGTTTATATTTCTTTCTATGGATTTTAGCAGGAATACAGTGAGAACTGATACAGTAGTTTATGATAAAATTCTCTTTGATATGATAAAATTCTGTTGAATCTAACTTTTCATGGCACTCGTATAAACTCTGACACATAACCGGGTAGTGTTCCCCGATACAATTCTATCCCACACTTTTGTAACCTTCTTTTATAGGCCATTTGGATTGCTGTTGCATTTTGTTGTTCTGGCTCGCAAATCAATGCTGCTTAAAGTTTTGTCTCCATATAGATTATCAGAAGATTTCCTTGATAAAAGAATAAGGCATTTTAAAGCTCTAGCTATGTACTGATAACTTTACATTTCACAAGTATGAAGTTGAATTCTTCATCAGCAATTTTTATGAAATCCTATCACTGTAAATTTGCTCTACAAAGGATAATACTCAAATAGCATGTCTCATCTCTTCATCTAGTCACAGTCCTCTAGGAAGAGGATTGTCTTACAATTTCAGAAATAAACATCTAGTCTTATTTTCTGTACTAGGGAGACCTGAGAGAAATGGGGTCTGAAGGCATCCCTGAGAGAATGACGTCAGTTCGGAGACTGGGAGGAGATGCATTCTTAGGAGGTGAAGAGTTGAGTTTTCTGGAGCAGGCTTATCTCATTGTCTTAGAAAAAAAATCATAGGAGAGAAGAAAGGCCATGAGAAGAATAAAGAGGCATTCATTTGAGCCATATTACTTTGATTTTGGTGTGTCTTATGGTCTGCTGTGTATCCAGAAAACTGAGAGTGAAATTGTGAGATAAAAATGATTGAAGGAAGACCTGATTTCAAAGGAGCCAGCTTCTGTTTACTGCTGGCTTCAGCTAAGTGCCTTTGATTCACTAAAGCAATAGGAGAAAGTATTGACAATAATAGAAATGAGACGTTTACTCCTTCTAAGAGGCAAAATTCATATTGTGAGAAAATTAAAAAAGAGTCACTGCAGATTCTGAACTCTGCAGACAAGTATATGTTTGCTGAGACTGGGTCATTAACCCGCAGAACCCACTGAAGAAGAGGAGTCTATCACCGCCGCACAGTAAAATCACAATGTAAATACATCCTAAAGCCTGGATGTCGTCAAGATACCTTTAATGCTTGGGGAAACTATTTAAGTAACTCACTGGCACTGAAGAATTAGCTGCCTACTTTCCAAGAAATAATAATTCCTCACACTGCCTCAGAACTCATAATGATGTTTGTGGAATTATGAACGCACAACTCAGCAACCTACCTAGAATCCAGGTTTTTTAAAAATTTATTTATTTTTATTTTATGTGCATGAATGTTTTGCCTGCATGTAAGTGCACCCATGAATGCAGTTTCCATGGAGGCAAGAAGAGGGTATCAGGTATCTCTGCAAGAGAAGCCAGTGCTTTTAACCACTGCACCATCCCTACAGTCCCTAGAATCCAGCTTTTAGTTGCCTAGGCTTTCCAACATGGCAACATTAATTAAATTCCCAATTATTTACATTTAAATTATACATATATGATAGCTAATTCTAAATATTAAATTATATGACATTTACCTTAACATAAAGCAATATAACTAATAACGTATGACATATTAATGTGACCAATAGCCCCACATATCAAATATAACATATAATGGCACAATACAGAAGATATTTATTTCAACAAAATGAGCAAATTTAATAAAAGTCCTCAAAGAAACGATATATTTTCTAAGAAAACTTACCACCAGTAAACTAGTATAAGTAAATATGTAACAGGTAATAATAGTGATTAATAATTTGTAATGACAATAGTAATAAATAAGATAATGTAAGCCAAGCTAACTTTGGGTAATCCAAAAATTTCCTTCCTACAACATCCTTAGCCTCTTTCCCCTCCCACCTTCCTGCTTCCCCTTAAGGGAGGGAAGCAGGTGAGCCAGCATTGCTTTCTCTGTAGTCACAGGCTAAACTTTCTAGTACAGTATACAAAATAGAGTTAAGTGGAGATAAACCAGCTGTGCATTGCTGTGTTGGTATCATTGACTGGTATGATCCATGCTCATGCATATACCAGGTAGAAAATGGACACATTAAATTATTTTGGGTGTAATGTATCTGCATAATCCTCATATCTTAACCATATCTTTACACACACACACACTCACAAATTAGTATTTTATTTTCTCCTCAGCTAAATCCTCCTGTTTCCTGAGCCTGTGCCACCCTCAAGGCCTCTCACTGGGCAGTGGCCACCACACTGACTTCTTCCACCCCTAGGCAAGAGTGAACACACTTAGATATTTAATATCCTGCTTCTTTATGGAGGGCACAATTAAAAAAAAACTT